CAATTCTCTGGGCTGCAATTTTCTCATAAGTTAAACCGATGATCTTTAAGCTCTTTTCTAACAAAGATGAATCTTCCAATCCCCACACGATTCAAGGCTAGCTATAGAGTGGTTGGACTGCCCCTTCCCTCTCACCCACCAGATGGCAGACACAAGCTCAGCAGCCCCCATGAGCACTGCTAAGCCTTGGAGTTAAAGACAGAGAAAAAAAAAAAAAAGACAGAGGCCAGGTGCGGTGGTTTACATCTGTAATCCTAGGACTTTGGGAGGCTGAGGCGGACGGATTATGAGGTTAAGAGTTCTAGACCAGCCTGGTCAATATGGTGAAACCCTGTCTCTACTGAAGATACAACAAATTAGCCAGGCATGGTGGCTCAGGCCTATAACCCCAGCACTTTGGGAGGCGGAGGTGGGCTGATCACCTGAGGTCAGGAGTTTGAAACCAGCCTGGTCAACACAGTGAAACCCTGTCTCTACTAAAAATAAAAAAATTAGCTGGTCGTGGTGGCACACACCTGTAATCCCAGCTACTTGGGAGGCTGAGGCATGAGAATCACTTGAACCTGGGAGGCAGAGGTCGCAGTGAGCCGAGATTGCACAACTGTACTCCAGCCTGGGTGACAGAGTGAGACTCTGTCAAAAAAAGGAAAAAAAAAATGGACAGAAGATCCTTTGGGCAATGTAAAAAAAGAAGGGGGGGGGGACAAAAAAGAAGAACCTTAGAAATCTGTAGAAATCTCAGTTGAAGGAAGCCTAGAAGTGCATGTGCTCCGATCTGTGGCTCCTGCCTTGATAAAGCCATTTGTATTCACTGAGGGGCTTCTCTGGCACTGCTGTATTTAATTCTGGATAAGGTATAAATAGAACTTGGCTGACTGTCAAAGCACACCACCCACCACAGTGTTCCAATCCTTTTGGGACATCAACCAAATCTGAGCCTTTGATTCCCTCTAGTGGCTTAAACTGGCAACTTTCGTAGCTGGTTTTTGGCATTGGTTATTGACTATGTAAGTATCTATTGTATGCACTAAATTGGTGCTGGGTTCTCTAGCTCTGCCTGGAGTGTAGGGCACTGGTTTCATTTAAGCATTTTTGTGTCCAATGGAAAGCAAACAGGGGTAAAAACCAGAGCCCCTTCTTACAAAGCTGCTTCTTACTAAGCTTAGCTTACTACAGTGCAAACCAGTGAATTTCCCAGCTGTTCTAAAGCTGCTTTATAGTGATTCTGGCGGCCAGGCGTGATGGCTCACGCCTGTAATCCAAGCACTTTGGAGGCCAAGGCGGGCGGATCACCTGAGGTCGGGAGTTCAAGACCAGCCTGACCAACATGGTGAAACCCCGCCTTAAAAAATAAAAAATAATAATAATAATACCCCGTCTCTACTAAAAATACAAAAATTAGCTGGGCATGGTGGTGCGTGCCTGTAGTCCCAGCTACTCGGGAGGCTGAGGCAGGAGAATTGCTTGAACCCAGGAGGTGGAGGTTGCGGTGAGCCGAGATCACGCCATTGCACTCCAGTCTGGGTAACAAGAGTGAAACTCCGTCTCAAAAAAAAAAATAATAATAATAAGTATAGTGATTCTGGGAGGATGGGTTATTATATGGGTTATTTCTGCCACTAAATGAGATTAGGACCTTGGGCTGTCTCTTTTACCCCTGCATCTTAGTTTGCTCATTGGTAAAAATGAACATGTGGGTTACACTCAAATAAATTCAACAAATATTAATTGAACACCTGCAGTGTGAAACCCTGGGCTGAGTACTACGGAAGTCAGCAATGAATGGTACTTGATCTCAAGGCACTTACCGGCTAATGGGAAAACCAGACATCACAAAAGCCACATAAAATTGGGAACGAGGAGGCGGGCATGGTAGCTCACGCCTGTAATCTCAGCACTTTGGGAGGCCGAGGCGGGTGGATCACGAGGTCAAGAGATAGAGACCATCCTGGTCAACATGGTGAAACCCCGTCTCTACTAAAAATACAAAAAATTAGCTGGGCATGGTGGCGCGTGCCTGTAATCCCAGCTACGCAGGAGGCTGAGGCAAGAAAATTGCCTGAACCCAGGAGGCGGAGGTTGCGGTGAGCCGAGATCGCGCCATTGCACTCCAGCCTGGGTAACAAGACGAAACTCCATCTCAAAAAAAAAAAAAGAATGTGTGTCTCTAAGGGAGTCAAGAACTCTCTCTAAGAGACCACTTGTTCCCCAAGGTATTTCTGCACTTATAGAGAGCTCGGGTAGGATAACCTGTCTCTAGGGACGCCCTAAGGAGCAACCTGGAACCCAGCCTGTGACCTGGTATTGAAGCCTGTATGGGGAGGATGCCAACCCCTGCCTTCCTGTCTCAGTGGAAGGAAGAAAACTGTTCTTGTGGAATGAGCAGAGAAATTCAGGGACCTGAAACAGTTCAGTGCAGGCATACCAGATGGAACAGAAGTATTTCCAAGAGCTTCATTTAGAGGCACAAGACAAATGAAAAATGAAGAAATAAAGCAAAGCAGGGCTGTGACTTCCTCTAACGCAACAACTGAGGGTGGACACTATTTGGAGAGCTGTGTGAACATCAGCAGTGGAAAGGAAGGTGCTGTTGTTGGGGAAAGAACACGGGGCTGCCTGTTGGACAGATCTGGCTGCCTTGCAACAGACTTGAATCCAGACTCAGTGCCACCCTCCCTAACTCACCCCCAAATAAAACACATAGTACTCCTGGCTTCCCCATCACTGCTACTGCAGTCACCATCCTACCAGTCATGCAAGCTTGAAAATGATCTTTCTTTTTTTTTGTTTTGAGAGGGAGTCTCGCTCTGTCACCCAGGTTGGAGTGCAATGGTGCGATCTCAGCTCACTGCAACCTCCCCCTCCTGGGTTCAAGCCGTTCTCCAGCCTCAGCCTCCTGAGTGGCTGGGATTACAGGTGCCTACCCACATCGCTGGCTAAGTTTTGTATTTTTAGTAGAGGTGGGGTTTCACCATGTCAACCATGGTTGGCCAGGCTAATACTAACTCCTGATCTCAAGTAATCTGCCCTCCTCAGCCTCCCAAAGTGCTGGGACTACAGGCCTGAGCCACAGTACCCGGTCCAATCTTCGCTTTTGAATCCTTTTTCTTTCTCCTCTAAGATCCAGTCAGTTGCTATGTTCTGTGGTTTTGACTATCACATGACCTCACAAATCCATCATTTGTTTTTTACTATCTTCACCACTATCCTAAGGCAAAATCTCTTACCTGGAAAAAATTAACATTGTTTTCACAAATGTATGTCTCAATATTTCCCTTTTCCTGTTCATTTGACACACAGCTCCTAAACTTTGTTCTTTTTTTTTTTTTTTACTTTATTTTATTTACTTCACATCTCCTTGAATTAAACTATCTCTTTCTTAACCAAGAGATTACATTGTTGGGAGTGGTGGCTCACACCTGTAATCCCAGCAGTTTGGGGGGCTGAAGTGGGTGGATCACCTGAAGTCAGGAGTTCAAGACCAGCCTAGCCAATATGGTGATACCCTGTCTCTACTAAAAATACAAAAAAATTAGCTGGGTATGGTGGCAGGTGCCTATAATCCCAGCTACTTGGGAGCTAAGGCAGGAGAATTGCTTGAACCTGGGGAGCGCAGTTTGCAGTGAGCCAAGATCACACCACTGGACTCCAGCCTGGGTGACAGAGTGAAACTCGGTCTCAAAAAAAAAAAAAAAGGCCGGGCAAGGTGGCTCACACCTGTAATCCCAGCACTTTGGGAGGCCGAGGTGGGCAGATCACAAGATCTGGAGTTCAGACCAGTCTGGTCAACATAGTGAAACCCGCATCTCTACTAAAAATACAAAAAAAAACCACTAAACAAACAAACATAGCTGGGTGTGGTGGTGTGCACCCATAATCCCAGCTACCAGGGAGTCTGAGGCAGGAGAATCACATGAATCCGGGAGGCAGAGGTTATGGTAAGCCAAGATTGCGCTGTTGAACTCCAGTCTGGGAGACAGTGTGAGACTCTGTCACAAAAAAAAAAAAAGAAGAAGAAGAAGAAGAAGAACATGAGTTTCTGGACAACAGTGTAGTTTCCATGAGTATCATTTTCTTGGAAGCCTCTGCTAAGAGAAGACAGAAAGATCAAAAAGCAGTCGTGACCAGGCATGGTGGCTCATGCCTGCAATTCTAGCACTTTGTGAAGCCAAGGTTGCAGGATCACTTGAGCCCAGAAGTAACTTGGAACCTGGCATAATAACAGAGCAAGACCCTGTCTCTACAAAAAATTAGCCAGCATAGTGGCATGTGGCTGTAGTCTTAGCTTCTCTGGAGGCTGAGGTGGGAGGGTCACTAGAACTGGCGAGGTTAAGGGTGCAATGAGCTATGACTGCACCACTGCACTCCAACCTGGGCAACAGAGAGACACCCAATCTCTCAAAAAAAAAAAACAAAAACAAAAAAAACAGGCGGGTGCGGTGGCTCACACCTTTAATCCCAGCACTTTGGGAGGCTGAGGTGGGCAGATCACGAGGTAAGGAGTTCAAGACCAGCCTGACCAACATTGTGAAACCCTGTCTCTACTAAAAATACAAAAAAGAATTACCTGGGCATGGCGGCACATGCCTGTAATCCCAGCATCTCAAGATGCTGAGGCAGGAGAATCACTTGAACCTGGGAGGCGGAGGTTGCAGTGAGCTGAGATCACACCACTGCACTCCAGCCTGGGTGACAGAGTGTGACTCCATCACAAAAAAAAAAGTTGACATGAGCAATTTCATTGTTCATAAAGACCAAATAAGGTAAGAAAGACAGGCACTATTAGGAGGTAATCTGGGGTGGTTAAAGTAGACATGATGAATTCAGTTAACGGAGGAGCCAGTGTGAGAGCAGGACTTCTAGTACTCCTGGTTCAGGACTCTTCCAACACCTTGACATGCCCTTGCCCACAGGAACATCCCATAATTCTTTGTCATATTTGCTCCCCACATATTGCCATCTAGTCTCTGCGTTACTCATTAAAGATTTTCTTCTTCCAGTTTCCTACTATGTTGGAACCTTGGGGACTCACACCGAGATCAAGAGAGTGGCAGAGGAAAAGGTCACTTTGCCCTGTCACCATCAACTGGGGCTTCCAGAAAAAGACACTCTGGATATTGAATGGTTGCTCACTGATAATGAAGGGAACCAAAAAGCGGTAAGTAGACACCTGGCTGGAGTCCCTCCTCCTTCTTGTCCCCCTGCATTGGCCTTTCTTCAGTCTTCCAGTCTTTCAGGTTGGCTCTCAAAGAGCTAGAATTCCTTTTTCATCTGGCTTATACTTGAAATACTTTAGATAAAAAATCATAAAGAAGAAAGAGCATTGCTGGGCATGGTGGCTCACGCCTGTAATCCCAGCACTTTGAGAGGCCAAGGCGGGTAGATGACCTGAGGTCACGAGATCGAGACCAGCCTGGCCAACCTGGTGAAACCCCATCTCTACTAAAAACACAAAAATTAGCTGCAGGTGCCTGCAATCCCAGCTACTCTGGAGTCTGAGGCAGGGGAATCACTTGAACCCGGGAGGCAGAAGTTGTAGTGAGCCACGATCGTGCCACTGCAGTCCAGCCTGGGTGATAGAATGAGACTCTCTCTCAACAAAAAAAGAAAGAAAGAAAAAAGTATTCGGGGCCAGGCATAGTGGCTCACACCTGTAATTCCAGCACTTTGGGAGGCTGAGGTGGGTGAATCACTTGAGGTCAGGAGTCTGAAACCAGCCTGGCCAACATGGTGAAAACCCATCTCTACTAAAAATACAAAAAAATTAGCCAGATGTGGTAACATGCAATCCAAGCTACTCTTGAGGCTGAGGCAGGAGAATCCTTGAACCTGGCGGGCAGAGGTTGCAATGAGCAGCGATCATACCACTATACTTCAGCCTGGGCAACAAAGTAAGACTTAGTTTCCAAAAAGAATACTTGGGTTGTGAAAATAAGAGACTTGGTGTTCTTTGGGCGAGCCAGGACTATTAGAAAACCATCTGGTATTTGTGGAGGGAGGGAATATGCACTGTTAGTGTCTTTGCCTAAGAAGGAGACTAAATAGCCAATGATGAGGAGGAAAAAAAATGCAGACTAGGATGCAGTAGCTTTATTCCCTAGGCTTGTGGGCCAACCCGAAGCCCACTCTGGGAGGGCTGCTTCTGTTCTTCCTCGTAAATATTTATGACCCCTGTCTATGCTTCAGCCTTCACAAAGTCATGACTTCCAAGTAATAAGATTATGTGATATGACAAACAATGTATGATGCAGAGAAACAAGTACAGGACATGAAGGAAAATGTTTCACACATATCTAATTGGTGGAAAGATAATGATATTGGTTCTAGGGTGGAAAACTAAAGGAGCTGGCCCTGTGTCTTCAGTGCTCCAGTTGGGTTGGACCATGACAATCCCTGTGCTTCCAGCAATGTGAACAGAATTTGTAGTGCTTGGCCTCCTGAGGATCTGCTGGGTGGCCGCTGTGAGAGAAGGAGAGAATGAGCACTTGGGAACCTACTGTTATTATCCTCTGCCTTGTTTGCATTCAGCCACAGTAGCCTCCCTTACCAGGTTTTTTGTTTTGTTTTGTTTTGTTTTTGAGACAGAGTTTCCCTTTTGTTGCCCAAGCTGGAATGCAATGGCACGATGTTGGCTCATCACGACCTCCACCTCCTGGGTTCAAGTGATTCTTCTGCCTCGGCCTCCTGAGTAGCTGGGATTACAGTTATGCACCACCAAGCCCAGCTGATTTTGTATTTTTAGTAGAGACGGAGTTTCTCCAAGTTAGTCAGGGTTTCTCCATGTTGCTCAGGCTGGTCTCTAACTCCCTACCTCAGGTGATTCTCCCGCCTTGGCCTCCTAAAGTGCTGGGAATACAGGTGTGAGCCATTCTGACCAGCCCAGTACAGGTTTTCTAGCATAACTATTCTCATCCCCTTTACTCACTGAATTCTCTTTTTGTTATAAGTTTAATCATTAGGCCAGGTGCAGTGGCTCATGCCTGTAATCCCAGCACTTTGGGAGGCCGAGGCAGGCAGATCATGAGGTCAGGAGATCAAGACCATCCTGGCCAACATGGTGAAACCCCATCTTTAAATAAATAAATAAATAAATATTTTTTTAAAAAAAAGAAAAAAAAAAAATTTAATGATTAAAAAATAATCTGTATGGTCAGGCGTGGTGGCTCATGCCTGTAATCCCAGCACTTCGGAAGGCCAGGGCAGGCGGATAACCTGAGGTTAGGAGTTTGAGACCAGCCTGGCCAACATGGTGAAACCCCATCTCTACTAAAAATAGCTTGGTTTGGTGGCCCATGCCTATAATCCCAGCTATTTGGAGACTGAGGCAGGAGAATCACTTAAACCCAGGAGGCGGAGGTTGCAGTGAGCTGAGATGATGCCACTGCACTGTAGCCTGGTTGACAGGTTGACAGAGCAAGACTCCATCTCAAAAAAAAGAAAAAAATTAGCCAGATGAGGTGGCACATACCTGTAGTCTCAGCCACTCAGGAGACTGAGATAGGAGGATCATTTGAGCCCAGAAGTACAAGGCTGAAGTGAGCTATGATCACACCTATGAATAGCTACTGCACTTCAGCCTGGGCAACATCCCTATCTCTAAATAAATAAATAAGAAGTTGTCAGGCCAGGTGCGGTGGCTTACACCTGTAATCCCAATACTTTGGGAACCTGAGGCAGGTGAATTGCTTGAACCCAGGAGTTCAAGACCAGCCTGGGCAACAAAGTGAGACTCTATCTGTATAAAAAAAAATTTTTAATTAGCCAGATGTGATGACACATGCTCACAGTCCCAGTTTCTTGGGAGGCTGAAGCAGGAGGGCAGCTTGAGCGCAGTAGGATGGCTTGAGCCCAGGAGGTCAAGGCTGCAGTGAGCTGAGATCACACCACTGTACTTCACCCTGGTCAATAGAGCCAGACCCTGTCTCTAAAAAAAACAAAAACAGGCAGGGCGAGGTGGCTGGCACCTGTAATCCCAGCACTTTGGGAGGACAAGGAGGGCCGATCACAAGGTAAGGAGTTTGAGACCAGCCTGGCCAACATGGTGAAACCCCGTTTCTGCTAAAAATACAAAAATTAGCTAGGCGTGGTGGCAGGTGCCTGTGATCCCAGCTACTAAGGAGGCTGAGGCAGGAAAATTTTTGAACCCAGGAGGCGAAGTTTGCAGCGAGCCAAGATTGCGCCATTGCACTCCAGCCTGGGTGACAGGGCAAAACTTCATCTCAAAAATAAGCAAACAAAAAAAAAGCAAAACAAAGAAAAAAGTTGTCCTTTGCTCTTCTCTATGTATACCACTAATTTTATAACATGGTTTATGCTGGGAGGAGCTAAGGTTTTCACTGAAAACGGATTTCAGTATTGCTATTAGTTTCACTTGCTTAAATAGCTGTCTGCGTCACCTCATGATATTGATATTGCTTGTCATTTTGTTCTCATACAGCAACATCCTAAGATACTATCTGTTCTCTGTAGAGCGAGGTCACCTTAACCTGAGTATATTTATTTTTATTTTATTTTATTTTATTTTTTGAGACAGAGTCTCACTCTGTTGTCCAGGCTGGAATCCAATAGTGTGATGTCAGCAAGCTCCACCTCCCAAGTTCAAGTGATTTTCCTGCCTCAGCCTCCTGAGTAGCTGAGATTACAGACGTGCACCACCATGCCCAGCTAATTTTTGTTGTTGTTGTCGTTTTTGAGATGGAGTTTCGCTCTTGTTACCCAGGCTGGAGTGCAATGGCGCCATCACGGCTCACCGCAACCTCCGCCTCCTGGGTTCAGGCAATTCTCCTGCCTCAGCCTCCTGAGTAGCCGGGATTACAGGCACGTGCCACCATGCCCAGCTAATTTTTTGTATTTTTTTTAGTAGAGACAGGGTTTCACCATGTTGACCAGGATGGTCTCGATCTCTTGACCACATGATCCACCCGCCTCGGCCTCCCAAAGTGCTGGGATTACAGGCTTGAGCCACCGCGCCCGGCTGTTGTTTTTTTTTGAGATGAAGTCTCACTTTGTCACCCAGGCTGGAGTGCCGCGGCGCCATCTCAGATCACTGCAACCTCCACCTCCTGGGTTCAAGCAATTCTCATGCCTCACCCTCCCAAGTAGCTGGGATCACGGGTGTGCACCATCACACCTGGCTAATTTTTGTATTTTTAGTAGAGACAGGGTTTCACCATGTTGGGCAGGCTAGCCTCGGAACTCCTGACCTCAGGTGATCTGCCCTCCTCAGCCTCCCAAAGTGCTGGGATTACAGGCATGAGCCACTGCGCCCAGCCTCTGAGTATGTTTATTTTAACAGTTTCTTGGTCAATCCTAGATTTGATACTCTCAGTTCTGAATGAAGTGATTATGAGCCCATGTTCCTGAAATAAAAATCCAAGAATTACTGATAGATTCTCTTCTTTTATTGCACTTGAGGCAGGTTCCTTAGGTCTTTCTGATTAGACCTGATCTTCAGCTTTTTTTTCTGCCCTCAAAGAATACATTTTGAGCAAGAATGCTGCTAAGTCAGCTTAGAGAAAATCCTCCACCCTTGGTATCTTATCATCCTGTCCTGCCTACAATAATAATCCTATCAAGCAGGTTCAGCCAGAAACCCCCTCAGCCCTGATGGTCCCTCTTAGTAATTTCATGACCCCCACCCTGCTCCTTGGTTTTTGTAAACTCCCCTTGTCCTTGCTGGAATCAGAATCAAGCCCAATCTCTGTCTCACAGTGGTCTTCATACCTATTACCATGTCCGTCTCCCCCTCCCCCACCTTGAATACAGCCTGTCTTACTATCTTTAGCAAGTTTTGGCTAGGTGAGGTGGCTCATGCCTGTAATCCCAGCACTTTGAGAGGCCAAGGTGGGTGGATTACTTGAGGTTAGGAGTTCAAGACCAGCCTGGGCAACATGGTGAGACCCTGTCTCTACTAAAAATACAAAAAAATAGCTGGGCATGGTGGCCAGCACCTGTAATCTCAGCTACTTGGGAGGCCAAGGCAGGAGAACAGCTTCAACCCAGGAGTCAGAGGTTGCAGTGAGCCAAGATTAAGCCATTGCACTCCAGCCTGGGCAACAGAGCAAGACTCAGTCTCAAAAATAAATAAATAAACAAGTTTCACTGGATAATTTTCTCATTAACAATTTCATGCAAGGTGGTGTGGCTCACACCTGTAAT